TGAGAAAACACTATTGTATGCTCTAATATTTCTCCTAAACTCAACACCCTCATTACAATCCGATGTTAGCAAGTTATATAATTCTTCTGGAATATGAGGTTCCACAAGTACGGATTCTCCATTATTGCAGCAAAAAGAAGGACTCTCATATTCAAATTTCATTGCTCTACAATGGGTGCAACTTGCTATCTTTCCAAGTTTGTGTAGTTCTGAACAAGACGACCTTAATATATTTGTTCCTATATGATTGTAATATGTTATTGGTTAATTTTATATATTGTAAAAACTTAAATTATTATATTTTAAAGTTATCAAAGCTCACCGTTGCATTCAACTTGATAATTGGATGCTCGTTTTAGCCAACTTGCACTTCTTTTCATTGACTGCTCTTCTGTGTTTTAACTATTATCCATAGTCCTCTTCATTCTCTTATTTCGACACACCCTACCAATATAAGCTTTTCTCTCCTTATTAGTTAGCTCATTGTAGTAATTTTTCTTTTGATTTTCTTTGATGCTGTTGATAGATCTGTATGAATATATTAGTATTATTTGTTATTGATTATCTTATGGATACATTAGAAAAGTTAAATTTGTTTGACTAACCTTCATTTGATTCCATTTGTTTTTCTAATAATTTTTGACACAAACTTGTGAGATTAATATTTGAACCGCACAAGAATTGAATGCTAATTTATTTTTATCATATAATAAATTTAAATTTAAAATTTTAAATGTTATAATTATAAATTCATTCATTATGTACTTTTAATAATTGGCAAAATGGAAAATTTCATGATGTAGTTAAATTCAATTAAGTTAACATAGTAATTGCAACACTAATAAAACTATTGTTACAATTACTATACGAACTATATAAAGCATTACTTTTAAAAAGAAAATGGACCTTGTTTTCCTTGCTGTAGTTGTTGGTTGTTCTTAATATTTAAACCTGACAAAAATATCAAAAATAACAAGTTAGTATTACCTCAAATCATCTTAATTTGTTTGTTATATTTTATTATTATAACTATTGTTTATTCAATTTATAGTTTCTTTTCAAAATAAATATCTTTTTAGAGAATATTTATTAAAAAATAAAAAATATGAAATAAAATTGCAAATAAACATCTTAGTTATAAGACAAATATTTTAATTTAATAGAGGGAAAGATAACTTTGATAAACAATACTTTTTACTAGAACACCACCATGGAATCATTAATTGAAGATTGTCGGCATGTTGATGGCACTAAGATTGCTCACAGTGGAAGGATGGAAATTTCATTGTTCAGGTTCGGTGAGACTATATATGGACATGTGAGAATGCAAATGGAGGAGATATATTCAATAGAAGAGGTAGATTTCAATATATAAGGCCTGAGCATGGAATGTTTCTTGCCTTCTGCTGGCCTTCAAGAAGAAAAAGAATGCAATGATGTGCCCGTGAAGAATGGGCTTCCACCTAAGATAATACATAATGTTGTGATAAAGCTCGGTTCTTCAAAGGTCGCTGCAATTGATATCGTAGACTAGGTTTGTTTGGAGGAAGAATATGGGATGCAATGAACAACGACTTATTTGGTTTTGTAAATATGGAATCCATGTAAATTTTGGAACTTGCATGACAAAATCAGTTTCTTAGGATTGGAATTTGATCAACTAGAACTGATACTGCTCTATTCTAAATAGTATAAGTATTAATAATATAACTTAAGCTGAATTCTAAATATCAATATCTTGCATAGCATATAATTTGTTAGACTACTAAGTAGATAGAACTACAAGTATAAAATACTTCATTAGTTTTTTGATGTAGTTTGTAGAATGAATTATATGTACAGCTCTAAAAATAAACACTAGTACAAAACTGGGCTGCCCAAACGGTTATTAGAACCGTTTGGGCAAATCGAAATAGCCCAAAAGTTTATTGTAACGACTAAAGTTGTAATAGATTCGATAGCAATGAAAACATCAACTTTCTCCGTAAACAAGGAACACGCTCTGACTGGTCGACTGAAGTTGTGTTGTCGGTCGACCGAGGGTGACCAATCAGTCGACCGAGGGTGACCAATCAGTCGACCGAAGATGGTGAACCAGTAGACCGAAAACATGCATGAAGACCCTGTAAAATAGTGTGTTCTGGCCGGTCGACCGACACACATGGTCCGGTCGACCGAAATCTGTTTTTTTCAGTTTCCTAATTGATTTGGGTTTCTGTTTTGTGCTGGGTTTATATATATATTCTAATACGTTTTTAGGGTTATGAGAACACGAAAAAAGGAGGGTTTTGACAGCACTTTGAGATCAGAGATCTTAGAAAGAGAGAGGCATATTGCGAGCATTGTAATCTTCTTCAATTAATCAAAGAATTGTGTGGTGTGGCTCCCAATGATGTAGGCACGTTTGCCGAACCTCGTTAAATATGGTGTGTTCCTTCTTGTTTATCTTTCCTACATTTTTTCTTTTATTTACGGTGATTTTCCTACTTGTTAAACTCTTAGCATAAGATCCGCAAGGGCACAAATTCGATTGATTGTTTCAAATCCCCAACATCATTCCCTGTTCAATTTAATTAAAATCAAAAGTGCTTACATAAAAAAGGATGCGAGCCAGTCTCCTTAATGTTTTCCAATTGAACCATTAATGCTCACATCATAGAGATATGGAACCTTCTCCATAATTACATGTATAAGTGTGAGGAGAGGACCCTGGGTGTCACTCATTACAATACAGATGCAAATATGGACCTAAGCCGGTCTCATATATATGATTATGAAAATTACACTAGTACAAAACTGGGCTGCCCAAACGGTTATTAGAACCGTTTGGGCAAATCGAAATAGCCCAAACGGGTACAACCGTTTGGGTTACTTATTCCAAACGGGTACAACTGTTTGGGCTATTAGATAATCCCAAACGGCTCTCCCAAACGGGTTAAACTGTTTGGATATTTCAATCCAAACGGGTTACAACCGTTTGGGAGCAGCAGGATGCTAGGGTAAAAAAAATTGCCATTTTACTTTTTAGGACCCGCGCCCCCCAAACTTCACCCGCGGGTTGAAACATCTTCGCCGAAAATCGCCCGCGCGTCCCCCAAAATTCACCCGCGCGTCCCCCAAAAGTATTTGATCGATCCCCAAAATTCACCAGCCTCATCTAATTGTGATCTTCGCCTCCACCTCCTTCATATCTACTCCCGATCGCTGACGCCTCCGCCTCTGCCTCATCTTCGCCGGAAGCACCTCCGCCTCATCTTTGCGCCGCTGTCGATCCTCCGCCGTCTCCTCCTCCGCATCCATCGATTCCTCCGCAGCGTTGGCCTTCGCCAATTCATAGGTTCGGGTCGTGTTGCTCCTCCGCCTCCACCGCCTCCTGCTCAAGTCGGCCCTTTATCCTCTGTAATTATCTACTCTCAACAAAACCCTAAACCTAATTAATTTGTGTTCGTTAGAGATCCTACCCTCATATTAGATATTATTATGTTAACTTACATCATTGAGATATATAGAATGCTAATTTATATTGTTGCTGCTGTTGTGTGGTGTATATGCCTTCGGCTACACCAGTATATCATCGATACCTAGAGTTCTTTGAAATTTACCATAATCACATATCAACCAACTACAAGTCATGCAGAAAAATCCCAGCAAAGACCTCCAAGTCTGAGATGGTAAGCAGGGACATGGTGCTTGCAGTTTGCTTAACATGTATTTGTATGGTATGTACCACTTTGTTTTTCTGTTCTTTTGGAGTTTGGTGATGGTGATGATGTATCCGTAAAAGAATGTAACACTCCATGTGCTTCCTCTTCTTCTACTTTCCTTTTAGTTTAATCCAACTTTCTTTCCACCTACCATGGATTTATTCTTGACGTGTTTATTTTTGTGTCAGTGATATGGTAGCTAATAATTAATCTGTTAGGCTTGATAGGCCAATGCTTTGTTGGTGTAACTAGCTATTCCTCCAGTGAGATATGTCACATGGAGAATGATTTGGCAATAGCATATTTATATCAGATAATTGGATATGTTAGAATGATTAGTTTTAACCTATCAAACTGAAAAGTGCTTGATATATTAGAATGATTAGTTTTAACCATGAGTTTGTTGGAGTACTTGCATTTTTCATGTCTTTTTGTGTGAGAGTTTTCTTGTTCTGTTGTCTCTGCGATAATTCTATAAAATTGTTGACTTCTACTTAGTCCATCACATTTATCATGTCACTATTATAAAATCTTTATTGTTTTCTGGCATATACTATTGTACACTAGTCTGATGATATTTTGAAACATTTGATCTGTCTTCACCGTATTCACCTTATCTTCAGTACATGTCTTGTCAAATACATTTTACTTCCCTGGGAGGTTTCATTAACCTCAAAAGTGACCTTCCTCACTGATCTTTGTTGCGAATGATACACCCAAATTCAGCGCCTGCTTCTATGCAAATATTTTCTGTATGATTTCGTCGTTCTTCATGCCAGGAATGCTTATTTCAAATTTATGCAAACTATTACTCCATGAAAGTAATGTTTCTTTTGCTTAGCCATACAAAATTTAGGAATGTTCTAACTCCTTGCTCTCCAACATTTATCAAAAAAAAGGAATGTTTCTTTTGCTTAGCGGTACAAAATTTAGGAATGTTATAACATTGATATTAATGGTATATGTCAAAAAACACTCGTGAATTACTTAATTTCTCATTTTTAGGGAAGTTTCTTGAATATGTGAAGCTCGGTTGAGAAAGCACTTAGCAAAGAGTGAGTTCTACTGAATGGGGTGTTTGTGTCTGCGTGCAAAAGAGTCTTTAGTTCAAGAGAGACTATTAAAGGAGAATGCAATGCCTTTATCTGGATTGGTTTAGAGTTATAAGAGTCTTTAGTTTATCTTACATTTTAATTGTAACCCTATATTCAAAGCAAAGTAATGATCAAGCTTAGCTTATTCCTAAATCCATGTTTTTATAAGTCGTTACTAATAAATTATTTTATTTAGGTTATCATGGCCCGTAACTACATCAGAGATAAAGATTGGATGTACGTGGGTCGTGCAGAACGCATGCAATCTATTTTCGTTAATGGAGTTGGTGCTTTCATGGACTTTGTACGTAGACACGATATGGTCCGCCATGGGAGACTCATTTGTCCATGTAAATTATGCGCGAATAGGTTGCATCAATTGGAGGAAGAAGTAGAACTTCACATTGTGAAGAATGGTTTTGTTAGCGATTACAAAACTTGGGTATATCATGGACAAATTGAAGGTCTCAGTGATGCAGATGAAGAAGAACAAGAAGATGACAACTTATTTCTTGATGAAGAAATGGAGGAAATGGTTGAGGTAGCTCTTGGTAACACTAGCCCTGCTGAAGATCCTCCTTTCGGAGGGCATCGTGAAGACAATTATGATAAGTACATGAATGATGCTAAGAGGCCCATTTATGAGAATGCAAAACACTCCACGCTGTCATGGTTTGTCCATCTATTCCAAATTAAATGTCTAAATAAATGGAGCAACAAGTCATTTACAATGCTCCTCAAGTTTCTTAAAGATTCTATGCCTCCGGGGAACCATGTGCCTGATAACTGGTACGAAGCTCAAAAGATAATGTCTAATCTGGGTCTAAAGTGTGAGATGATACACGCATGTCCTAATGATTGTATAATTTATTGGAAAGAAAATTCAGATAATACGGAGTGTCCTACTTGCGGAGAGGCTAGATATAAGAAGAAAGTACATGGTCAAAAGAAGGATATACCTATCAAGTTAGTACGATACTTTCCCATTACACAGAGGCTGCAGAGGCTATTCAAGTGTAAGAAGACAGCGGTGGCGATGACTTGGCATCACCGTGCACGTCCAAGTGAAAATGGACGAATGAGTCATCCTAGAGATACGCCTGCATGGAAGGATTTTGACAGTAGGCACCCAACATTTAGTCAGGAACCTCGTAATATCAGGCTGGGATTGGCTAGTGATGGCTTTTGCCCCTTCAGCTTTAAGGGCAATCCCCACAGCACATGGCCCGTTGTGATGATGATTTATAACCTCTCACCGTGGTTGGCTATGGACCAATCATATTTCATGATGCCTCTTCTTATTGATGGTCCAAAGTCACCGGGAAACAATATTGATGTCTATCTTCGACCTCTTATCGAAGAGTTAAAGTCTTTATTCATTGATGGTGTGGATACATACGATGCAGACACGGGGACAAACTTCACCATGCGTGTAGCCTTAATGTGGACAATCAATGATTTTCCCGCGTATGGAATGCTATCTGGTTGGTCTGTACATGGTTATACTGCATGTCCTTACTGTCATCTCCAGACAACATCGAAAAGACTACCCTTTAGCAAAAAGACTTGTTATTGCGGCCATCGGCGCATGTTGGATGAAAATCATCCGTACAGAGATGATATCATCCACTTTGATGGTACTAAAGAGAATCGCCCGCGTCCAGACCCATTATCCGGAGAGGATATACTTGCTCAGTGGAATGGTAAAAACAATGTGACTTTTGGAAAAATAAAGGGAAGGCAAGAAACACCACAGGGATGGAACAAGAAAAGTATCTTCTTCGAACTACCCTACTGGAAGACAAATAAAGTGCGGCACAATCTAGACGTCATGCACATTGAGAAGGGAGTATCTGAGCACATACTTAACTTACTTCTCTGTAAAGATGGAAAATCAAAAGATAACCTTAAAGCTCGAAGGGATCTGCAGGCGTGGAACATTAGAAAAGAGTTGCATCCTATACCGAAGGCAGGCAATCCTGACCAATTTGTACTCCCTAATGCTGTGTATCACATGTCACTAGATGAAAAGAAAAAGCTCTTAGTTCATATTATCCACTATCTTGTTTATCTTATTTATGTTTATATCACCCTTAGTTTCATATCCTTGCATATAACTCATAATATATTTCATCATATAGGATATATCACTTTGTGTATATTGCATATTCTTGCCCATAATAGATTGTATACCTATCTTGCAAGAATATAGTTGTTAATTATTTTTAATTGGCATTTAATCGGATTAGATTAGCATAAGACCCTAATCACCCCCCCTCTAGGGTCTAACAATTGGTATCAGAGCTTGGTGCTCTTTGATTTAAGGTCTAATCGCCTTGAGTTAAAGATCCAAGTTATCTTTTTGTGCTAATCTTATTTTGATTGCATTTGTCTTGCTTGCACTCTTATATAGTTATCATGGTCATGAAGCATGCACTTTTGTTAGGCTATGAATCTAATGTTGCTCCTAAATTCATTAATTTTCCCTATGCACAATGGGCTTCTAGATTTAAAATTTTTGTGCAATCTAAAAATATTGATTTATGGGGAATTATTGATGATGCTTATATTGTACCCACTATGGAGAAATCCAAGTGGAGTAAAAATGACAAAAGATTGTTTACCATGAACAAGATTGTGTTAGAATATATGCATAATGCACTTGATTCCTCTATTTCTAACAAGCTTGTTTCCTTTGATAGTGCTTACAAATTGTGGACATTCATAGAAGCACATCATGGTAACTTGGAGGAGATCCAAAGGATTCCGGCGGATTCTTCCTCAAGTAATATTGGAGCTTCATCATGCACACGGCCACTAGGCGATAGCCCTAGTGAGGTTTGCGAGTTCGAAACCATAAATGATTTACCTAATGATGAACTTGCTTGTGCTAGTGAAAAATTATTACATGCCTTTAACAAATTGCAAAATGATTTCATTAATTTACAAAGCAAGCATGAAATTTTGAAATCCGATCATGAGTTGTTAGCATCTAAGTTTGAAACTATTTCTAATGAAAATATAATCCTTAAAGAAAACAATGAAAAATTAAAATTGGATCATGTTTCCTTAACTTCAAACGTTGCTAGTTTAACTCATGAAAGAGATAATGCCATGTTAGAAGTAAAGAACATACAAAATAATACTGCTTCCTTTGTAAATGATTATTTATGTTCTACTTCTAAAATTGCATATATGCATTAATAATCATAAGAAGCTTATGGACATGTGTGCCAAGACTAAATCAAAATCATCTACTCATTATGCACACATGTATAGCAAAACTTATAAGTGCTCTATATGCGGCCGTCAAGGTCATTTAGCTAAGTTTTGCTATGATGCACACAAACATAAGAATTCTAATGCTCCTTGTGCATCTCATATAGCTTCTTCATCTTGTACACTTACACATTCACATGCTCATTCTCACAAAGTTCATCATAAGCATGCTAGTGTGTTCAAGTGTGATTATTGTGGTCGTTTTGGTCATTTGGCCAAATATTGCTTTGATTTGAAAAGAAAATCTCATTTGACAAATGCTTCCAATAGACCACATGTTTTTAAATGTGATGTTTGTGGTAGGTTTGGACATCTTGCTAAATTTTGTTTTGATATACAAAAAGCTTCTAAATTGCAATATGTTCCAAATAGACCATTGTTTAAGAATGTTTCTCATTTGCAAAATAATTTTAAAAGAAAATCATTGTTTGCAAATGATTCTCGTGCACGAGCTAATGGTCCAAAAAACAAATGGATCTCTTTCATTGCACAAATTGCAATCGGAAGGGTCATTTGAATGAATATTGTTTTTTCTCATTTGCAAAATAATTTTAAAAGAAAATCTTTGTTTGCAAATGATTCTCGTGCACGAGCTAATGGTCCACAAAAACAAATGGATCTCTTTCATTGCACAAATTGCAATCGGAAGGGTCATTTGAATGAATATTGTTTTGACCATGTTAGTGCACCATATGTGCCTAAGATTTTTTGTTTTCATGATTATTGATCTTATTTTGATGAGAGGTTTGTGTTTATATAACCCTCCGGGTTTATTGGGTGTTTATTCCCAAATTATGTTTACCGGGTGCAAAAATGTTTATATGGGTTAATACTAGCTCAAGAGCTAGATATAGTTGCCTCTCTTGATTTTTGAAAATCAAAGATGATTTTTAGTTTTTCAAATCCATAGTTCATGAGTTACTTTTGAGCTATGAAAATTTTGCTTTGATTTGTTATTTTGAATTCATTATATAAGCACAAATAGATGATTCAAATTTTAAATATGCTTTATAATGTATTCTATGAGTGGTTTGATCAAGTTATGTAAAGAAAATTTTTCTTTATTGATCAAACATTATTTTTGAATATAAACTTTGATTTATGTTTTGCTTTGATTTGTTATTTTGAATTCATTATATAAGCACAAATAGATGATTCAAATTTTAAATATGCTTTATAATGTATTCTATGAGTGGTTTGATCAGGTCTTACAAAGAATTTTTTTTTATTATTGATCAAACATCATTTTTGGTTTAAATGGTTGATTTATGACTTCATTTGGTTGATTTGTTTTCATTCGAAAACTCTTTTTGCATGATTCTCATGTTTTCTCTCTTTTGATTTCATAAATCTATTCTTTTATATGGTTTTTATATTTTTTGTGTTAATGAGACACTATTTTCATA